ATATATCATTTGTTTTATTTAAACTAGCTTATCGAACAAACAAATAAACAATCAGTAATTATTGATATTTATAAACGAAAAAATGTTATTTCGAGAACGAAAGATATCGTTTGTATCGATGACGATCAATGTTGTTCATTTTTATTCTTTAATTAAATCACTTTCTTGGATTTGTTTGTTCGATAAGCTAGTTTAAATAAAACAAATGATATATTATCAAATAAAACAATCTCCATGTAAAACAAAGTTCGAAAGTTTTTGCTCTTCATAGTAGTATTTCTCTTATATTGTACTGGAAGAAATATTTTCAAGAAAATCTGATTAAAAGATTGATATATCGAAAAATTCGTAATGATAAACATAACAACTTACACCAGATCCAATCTTGAATAATTGGTGGAATAAATTCTTCATATAAGAATTGACCCCATGGTGGATTTGCAAAAGAAGGAAGTGGTTTTTTTGGTGAATCTAAAATAAATGAAAAGATCTGTTTGATGATAAATTCATATGAAAAGAATTACTTGGATGACGTTGATGAAAACGAATTAAATGTCCACATTTACATGTCAAACGATCTGAGTCAGCGCCAATATTCGTATTGATTTCTTTTTTATCGAAATCGTACAAGTCATCGAAATATAATGAACAAACTTTCTTCTGCCAAGGACATAGAAAACAGGTTGAATGTTGTTTTTCTTTTGGAATTGTCGTTTTCAAGAGAGTACTCGAATTCTTTGTTTCTTTCGAATGATGATCAGATGAGTCCTTTTGTGATGATGTAGACGACTTGTGTTTCTGTTCTTCTTCGAGACTGATAAGTCTAACGTCAAAATCTACGAGTTTTCTCTTCATCTCATCAAGTGATTTGAAAATCATTTCATTTTCAATTAGAATTTGTTCTGAAGACAATTTATACTCTTCATCAAATTGAATTTTTTTATCTGTAATATTAGATGACATGAAATTAATCTAAAAGAAAAAAAAACAAACAACCATCAATATCAGACAATGCATAGAAAAAGGTTCACAACATAAAAATAAAACGATAAAAAATGTTACTAATGAAACACTGGAAGTGTATACTTGATCACTTTTTGATGATACTATAAATAAATGCCGATAAACTTATTCCAACACCAATAATTGAACAAAGGTTGATCATTGATACAATTTGGTTATTAACACATAAACTGTATAATAAATAAATTGGTGTCATTAAGATAAAGGAAAGAATATGAACTAAAAATATGAAAATAAAATATGAATAGATTTTTAAAATAAATCAATACTTATCGATAATATAAAATATTTGAGTTTGATAACGAACATATTGTCGAAAATACGTACAAAAGATACTGGTAAACATACTAATGGATCGGTAAGTTTCACTAAAATGAACACAAAAATCTGAATTAGAGGATTTATCTATTGCAATCTTACGTTTAAAGATGATACTAATTATTTCACGTGGAACAAAATCAGAAAAAACATCATTTACAGGAAAATGAATTGAATATGATTTTGGCACTCCTGAATATAAATGAAATTATTCGCTTTTTTTGTAAAAGATTTTCTTACGATTATTATCTACGTGGCTTATCCCAGGATGATTACACCGACGACAAACATGATTATCAACTTTTTCAGTTGATATAAATGCACCATTTTTATAATGATACAAATCGTCAAGAAATAATATGCAAGGTGGATCTGTAAAATTCCACCGACAATCACGACAAGTAAACGACATAATGAGAATATCTTCTAACGGGTGGATCGAAAGTTTTCGCACAAAATGTCCAAGCCAAAAAAGCCATCTAGATGTTTGATTTAAAAATTTCTTTTTACACAGTTTTGTAGCCCGTTAAATTCTCTTTCTAGATATATAATTACTTTTTTGAAAATGAATTCTTTTGTTTTCAAAAAAGTCGATATTCGAAAACGAGTTTATTCCGTTCTTGGACGAATGAAAAAAAAAAGATGTTGTAAAACATTTTCAAACGGAAGGTGTGCCACGAAGAACTGTTTATGACATTATCAAACGTTATGAAAGTGGTCTACCATGTGAGGACAAGCCAAGACAAGGTCGTCCAGCCAAATTGAACAAGCAACAGCTGCAGAAATTGAAAAAGAGTGCCGAAAATCGTGTTGGAACCAGTCAAAGAAAACTGGCAAAGAAATTCGAGGTCTCACGACCATGTATTCAATGAAATTTAAAGAAAACTGGTTTAAAATATGACAAGCGACAGCGTGCACCAAAATACACTCAAAAACAGCTCGAACAAATTCCTGCAAAATGTCGAAAATTACGTCGAGAATTTACAGATCAAGAAACTTTCATCATTGTTGATGATGAAAAATATTTTACTTTCTCAGGTGAAGAAACGCCTGGTAATGCCGGTTTTTATTCTTCTAACAAAGAAAACACCCC